ACCTCCCAGCCCCCTGCTCTGAATCCTGCACACATACCTGCGCTGAGCCCCCATCCCCTTCCCTGACTCCTGCACCTCCTATCCCCTGTCCTGAGGTCCCATCACTCAACTCCCTGCCATGGGCCTGCCAGACCCACCTGCCTTGACTCCTGCCCTAACTGTTGCACCCCCCACCTCCTACCCTGAGCCCCCACAAGGATGTGGCAACACACAGTAAATCCTCTAGTACTTGAATACTGAAAATGGCTTTATGTCTTTCTTGAACATCTCAGGCTTGTCCAACTCCATGTGGGATGAAAACTGAGACATCAAAAAAAGTAAGATAATGGGGAAAAACATTTAATGACTCTGATTTTGGCTCCTGTTCATACATTGGATAACGTTCCTTCATTTTTACAAGCATTGGCAGACCAGAGCTAGCAAACCCACCATCAGTGACCAGGATTGGAGTAGGAGGGTTGAGATGCATGGTAGGGATGTTAAATTTAGAATAATCAACTCATCAAATAGTCGATGGACTTTGCATCGACTATTCAATTAGTTGACAAGGGCGCCTCTGCCTTTGAAATGTAGCAAGAGCCTCGCTGGCTCTTGCTACATTTCGAAGGCGGAAGCGCCACCAGTTCCCCACTTCGTCCCTGAGATGCATACCAGAGATGGTACTGGGGGGAACCGGCTTTTAATCCTGTTCCTCCTCTGAGAGAGAGGCAGAAAGAGGGGAGGGGCGGAGCGACTAGTCGCTTACATCCCTAATGCATGGACAGAGTTATAATAGGAAAGTTGACACAGTGGCTTTTTCCCCTGTTGTGTTCACTAATGGTAGTCATTGAACTTTCAGCAGCACTAAATTTATGCACAATCTAATTAATTGCCAGTCCAGATGCAGGATTGTCTAGTTAAACATCTAACATAAAAATGGTATTTAGGACTGCTGTCTGATTTTTTATGAAATATTTTAGGGGAAAATGTGTGGCAAAACAGTTAATCTACAATCAAGTGTCCTTTGGTGCATGACAACCCAGTATGTTTTCAAACAGCCTGAAGTATTTGTGTAGAAAACAGCCTCTCAGCATAGGCAGTAGCTACTTGTAGCTATTTCACCATGGGTGTGTCTAGACTACATGCCTCCTTCGACGGAGGCATGTAGATTAGCCAGATCGGAAAAATGTGTGGCAAAACAGTTAATCTACAATCAAGTGTCCTTTGGTGCATGACAACCCAGTATGTTTTCAAACAGCCTGAAGTATTTGTGTAGAAAACAGCCTCTCAGCATAGGCAGTAGCTACTTGTAGCTATTTCACCATGGGTGTGTCTAGACTACATGCCTCCTTCGACGGAGGCATGTAGATTAGCCAGATCGGAAAAGGGAAATGAAGCCGCGATTAAAATAATCGCGGCTTCATTTAAATTTAAATGGCTGGGGCCCGCCCC